CCCATTTTTTGTGCATTTCGTGTGCGGTCTTGTCGCGGCTTTTTTGTATCGGCCTCTGTGACACGTCGACCTAAATAGGAGTCTGTATACTGTGTCCGTGTGTGCGTGTGTTTGTAACGCTCATGCCGTACTTCCAGTCCGGTCCATTCCGCCTCGTCGGGGTCACGCAAGGTGAGGCGAGGCTGTTAAGCCATCTCAACCCGCTGTCCCGCGCTTGCGATCCACGCTTCGGCCCCTCTTGGCCATATCCCGTATACCTCCCCACCCCAATCCAAAACACACACACGCCAGAACCGCAACCGCTTCCTGCCCGCCGCCCTCCTGGTGGACCGCAGCAGCTGGCGGCGGCTGGAGGCGGCTGCAGCCCGCGGCAGGAGCTACGCGAAGAGGGTGCTGGGTATCAGCAGTAGCAGCGGCAAGGGGGGAATGGGACAGGTAGGGGGAAGGGAGGGGAAAGGGAGGTGAGGGAGGGAGCTGGTAAAGGTTGCATTGCTGGAGGTCCCCAAGCCTGCGGCCACATGGCGATGTGGGTGTTTAGAAGCGACGTAGCGGCTTAGGGTTAGGATGGGAGGGGGAGGGAGGGAGAGAGGGTAGGTGGAAGGGATGCAAGCCGTCCTGCGGCCAGTTAGAGTGCGGGTGTATGCGTGTGTGTATGTATGTGTGTGCATGTGTGTGTGCGCGTGTGTGCGTGTGTGCATGTGTGTGTATGTGCGTGTGTGTTTGTTTTTGTGTCCGACGCAGAAGTGCCGTTCATGGTTCCTGGAACCCGCCTTCCCCCCTCCCCTCCGCTGCCGTCCTTTGCTTCATACCTCTCACCCCCCCTCCGAGCCGCCGGCCCGCCTGCCGGCCTGCGCGCCTCCCCTTTTTCTCACATCCACACGGTTGGGCCCCTAGCACTTGGTGCACACGGGGCTGCATGGCCATCCGCACTATCGCAGTCGGCACTTGATTCGTTGTTTTTATGACGTCATCATCGTCACCATTACCAACACTAAACGATTCCTCCACCCACCCACCCGCCCGCCCTCATGGGGTCACGGCAGTTCCGACGGGGTGGTGTGCCAGCGGCACAAGCCAGCGCCGATGTCGTTGGCAACAGTCGGGAATACATGTCGTACGGTGGCGGCGGCGGTGACGGTGACGGAAGAGATGCCAGCGGCGGCGGCGGCGGCGGCGGCGGCTTTCGCGGTGGGAGGGGCCGCGGCAGGGTTACCGGCGGTCGGGGCGGCGACGGCAGGGGAGGGCGCGGCTGCAGGGTCAGCCCAGGCGCGGGTGGTTTCGGAGCCGGCGGCGACGACGGGGTCTACCCTGGCGGCTTTGGCCGAGGTGGTAGCGGTAGGTACGGCGACGGCGGCGGTGGAGCCCGCCGGGGGGGCTTCCGAGGCGGCGCCAGGGGACCCGCCGCCACCGCCGCCGCTGCCGCCGACGGAGGCGGAGGGCGCGGGTACGGACGCCGCGGCGGCGGCTCGGGTGGGGACGTGTTCAGCTCCGGGCGTGGGCGGCTTGGTGCTGGTGGTGACGAAGCAGGTGGCAGGCCCGTCCGCGGTGGCCGCGGGTACGATCGTGGGTACGGAAGCGGCCGCGGTGGGCAGCAGGGCTATCCTCCGCAGGGGTCCCGGCGGGGGGGTGGCCGCGTGTAAAGGGAAGGGGGGGTGCAGGGCGGCGAGGTGGTTAGTGGAACCAGGGAGTAGGATGGGTGAGGTACGTGGGCGATACCCCCGCGTGGTCCCGGGCGGAGCCTGTAGCCTGCCGCCCTGGGCAACCTAGCCTGGACGACGACAAGACTGCAAATACCTTCGATTGCCCGTACAGCCGTACAGTGTCTACAGCCGTACATTTGCTTGCCATGGATTAATGGAGGAAATTTCTGTGAAAATATTTCTGTTCTGTGAAAACAAAACAACGATAAATCTGGGGTAGGATGGAAACGATTTTAAATGTTGCTACTGCTGATGCTGATGCTGATGCTGATGCTGATGCTGATGCTGGGGTAAGAATTCGAATGCGCATAACAATGCAGTGATCCCCTAAACATGGGGTTCTTGTCAAGGTCGTCAGCAGCCACCAATCGAGTGATCTGCCATCGCCGTGTGAACGAGTCTAGTGGTTTAGCGTACGTACTTGTACGGACGGGATAACCCTCTCTTAACCAAACCAAGCCGCTGGGCGTACCGTACATCTACCTCGCCAGGCGCAGTTAGTCCGCTATCGATTAAGAGATTCATACATTTTTAACCGAAATCTGTTCGTGTGCTTGACAGAATGAAGGATGTTTGTTCTGAAAGTCGGAGCCTGGGCGTGGCGGGTTTTTCGTTGCCACGTGTCCGGAGTTTTTTTTATTGCACACAGTTGTATAGGGTTGCCGCTGGCGGTTGGTGGAGATTGCAGATCTTGTAGGAATGCGGATGGCTGCCTGCCTGCTGGGGTCCAGGGTCCAGGGTCCGGCTCATCGCAATTAACGCCTGAGGACTCTCGTGTTGTAACCATGGTCCCTGTCCCTGCTGCTACTGCGAAGTAAAAGGTGGCTCGCGAAGTCACAACACTTCTGTATCATTATAAACTGTATCCATGTATTTAATATATTACTTTACAGGATTGCCAAGGGAGGGCCTACTGGCTACCGTAAGATGACCTTGTACGGCACGAACGGAAACTTAGAGTGCCACCCTTGCTGGAGCAGCTCATGTTGAAACTTATGAAAGGGCACTTAGACTATGTGAGACCTAAGGTCAGCATCTTGCAATTTCAGCTAGATTTGTTTCTGCGGACAACGGCGTTAAGTTTGTCATAATTTTTTGATACTTTTGAACATATCTTTGAATACTACATAAATATTGTTTATCTTAAGGGTTTGTTAGGTGATGGGTAACGCGGCTTAGTCTTTCGCAGCAGACTGAACACTGACGAGCCAAGTAACCCAGCACGGAAAATCCGGTAAACATTGAGCTTACATCTGGAAAGCGAAAATATGCTTCTCGGAGAGTGCTGACGCACACGTGGTGACATGCTGTGGGCGAACATTAGACCTTGCCAATTGAGTTAAGACGTGGAGCAGCCATGCCGCTCTACGAGGAACCTTCAGTCCAGACCGGCAGCCAGATGCCGCGCAGCGCTTCTGAGGCTGCGATAGCTGCATCGAACCCCTTCAACATCCCAGCGGATGAGGAGATTTTCCGGTTCCGCGAGGAGGAGCGGGCGCGAAAGGAGCAGCAGAAGATCGCTGCTCAAACTACGGGCGTTGCGGAAAAGACGACGTTCGCGTCACAAATGCAGGCGACGGCAACACCCGACGCCCGAGCACTGCTGCGGGAGCTGCGGCCACCAAAAGGGCCGAAACCCACCGCCACCCTTGCAACATCAAGCATCGGTACGCTGGACCGACGGAAAGAAAAGGAAAACATGGCGGACTTCATTGCCAAGAAGCGCGAAATCTTCTTGCTGCAGATGAGCCTCGACACCAAGCGTGCTGAAATCAAAAAGCTAGAGGAGCGCGCCCGCCAGCGTGAGGAGGCGCTGAAGAAGTCAGAGCAGATGCTGGAGGAGGACGCCCTCCGCTTCGACGCGTTCTTAAAAGAGAACGACGAGAAGGTGCAGGAGGCAATCAAGCGTGCGGAGACGGAAGCAAAAGCCAAACAGGACAAAGTATTAGAAATTAAGCGCCTGAACACGGCCACAGCTGCCCTCCGTTCCGAGCTTAACAAATACGAGGAGCAGCTCGAGGACTGCCGGCGGTACAAGGAGTTCTTGGACAGCATCACACCGCCGGAGTGGTTTGAGCAGCAAGCAGCCAAGCTGCAGGTGAGGTGTACGGAGGGAGCGGGTGGGACGGAGGAGGGAGAGGGTTGGGGAGGAAGGATGACTTCCAAGGAGCTGGGTCGCTCAGTCGTCGGGGCTGGATGACGTCACGTCCGTTGGTGTACGACCTCGACGAGGTAATGAATATCCGAGAGAGGGTTTCCAGACTTCTGTATCTGCATTTATGTACGTACGTATGTATGTATTGAGTTTAACCGTGGCTGTACGTAAGGCTTTTACGGCACATGCCACGCTGCACTTTGAATTAGAGTAGTGTCTTGGATTTCGTTTGGATCCTAGAACTCTTTATGATGTTTCTTGCAGTGCGCTCTTGCTAGATTTCCAAACCCCAACAACGCGCTCCCCCCGCGTAACCCACATGCCAGTGAGGCCCCTTTAAGTAACCTCCCGTCACAATACAACCACAAATTCGTATCTTCGTACATTCATCCTATCCTACACTCGTACACACATACACATACACGCGCGCCACCTTCTCGCCCCTCCCGTGTCCCTCTTCTCAGCGGCGAAAAGACGCGCTGGTGGCGGAATGGCAGGGGCAATGCGACGCGCTACGACAGCGTCGTGAAGCGGGCTTGGCAGCCAAGGCACAGGCTGAGTCCGATTACGCCAATGCGCGAACACAGCAGCAGGCGGAGCGGGCGGAGAGGGCCATTAAGGAAAGCCTGGCGCTGCTAAAGGTGCGTCATCATGAATGGTGGTTGCCATGGTGGTGATGGTGGATGCGGGAGCTGGTTGTCAGGGCGGTGGCGGTGACCGTGGTGCTGTCCGCGCCGCTTGCATACGCGCACATACGTGTGTGCGTGCGTGTGAGGTTTTGCATTGCGGAGAGGCGGCTGGGGTGGGGAAATGGGCAATTGGCGTGAAGGCTGCTGTGGGCAGGGTGGAGAGCATGGTGGTGGGTTGGGAGGCGGAGGGGTAGGGGGTCCTCAGGGGTAGGGCAGCTGTGGGCAGGGGGGGGGGCTGTGAAAGGGCACAAGACCAGGCGGAAGGCAGTCCAGAGGGCACGGCTGCGTGACTGACTGACTGACTGACTGACTGATTAACTAACCTACTAACTGATTAGGTGGTTGGGTGGTTGATGTGAGAAGGCATGAGGTCCGCTGGCCCGCTGATCCCTGGAGCTGTCTAAGGTGTAAGGTGGCAATGGCGAGATGTATGTGAAGGTGTGATTGTTGTGCCACCATGACTTTTTATTATTGCCTTTTTGATGGGGGGGCCCCGGGACCTGGGACCTGGCTTGTGGGGTTCAGCCCTTGAGGGGTCGAGGAGGAGGCGGGAGCTGCAAGCTGGGAGCTGTTAAGGGCCTGGGGGGCCCAATACAACACAGACAGACGTCAACAGGGGCCAGATAGCGGAATGGGCCGGCCCCCTTCGCATCAGGGGAATATCCGATGCAAGGATGGAGGGGCTGGCGGATACCGGGTTGGCTCATTGCTGTGAATCACCAGGCGGGTGAATCACGGCTGGGACATGAAGGGGGGTTGTAATCCTGCGATCCCGTGAACACATCGTATAGACCTTTAAACCAACTCTCATGCCATGTCGTACACCGTACAAGGCCTTCGTGCGTAACGGAATGTGTTCACCCCCGTCCTCTCCCTTCCGCAACTGGGTCACGTAATGCGCCTGCAGGAGATTATGAAGGAGAAGGAGCCGCCGCCCCCCAATCTGGACTTCCAGATGGACCCCGACGACGAGGAGATGTACTTCCAGGAGCCGTCCCAGCTGCTAGCGGTGTACAAGCAGCTTGAGGAGAGCAACCTATTCTACATCCAGAACGCGCAGGTGCGGAATTGCGGGACTGCGAAGGGGAGGGCGGGCGGGCGGGCGGGAGGAGTGGGGGGAAGACCACCTCTCCTCTTGCCCACCGTTTAGTGTATGATAAGTCCTCAATCCATGATGGGCCACTCCGCATTTCCCATTTCAACCCTGCATTCCATAAATTTGCATGTGACTCCGTCTACCAGCTCCGTCTACCTTTTTCCCCTTTCCTCCACACCCCCTAACACGCACCGTGTAGGCAGTTGTACTTTTTGGCTCTTTTGCAGGTGTGTGTGTTCCCCGGCCCCCGGTTATTAATTTCGCCCTCCCGCCCTCCCGCCCTCGCCCTCCCGCCCCTCCCCCTCCCCCCCCCCC